GAGCTGCAGAACTGCAGTCAGCTGAAGTAGCCTGCAGTGCTGCATTTAACCACTTTGCCACCTCAGCTCTATCATTTGGCCGGAAAGAGTTTCAATGTTTTACCTATTTTTTTACAATAGAAGGGATTTTATGAGATTGTGGTCTTTGTTGTGGGAAGTCCTGAGAATTGCAGTTGAAGAAATCTAGAGATGGCTAGACTTAGATCTTGCCCTAAAATGATATGAGAACTTAGATGTCATAAGAGCCAATTTGCTCTCGTGGTTAAGACACTAAACTTAGAAAGCAAGAGATCATGATTTCAAGTCCTGCCTTAGCCATGAAAGCCAGCTGGCTGACTTTAGCCCACTCAGTTGTGGCCCGCTAGCAGCCAGTGGAGCTGGTGGCAGAATCTGACAGTGAGGAGGTTAGGGAGGAACATGGGCCAGTCCTGGAGTCTGGGGACAGCTCTGTGTTGTAGGCAGAGATGAAGCCAGGGCCGTCCGACAGTCATCAGCTGCCTTTGGCGTCGGAGATTAGTGGGGCAGAAGAACAGCTGGAGCCTGTTCCCAGTGTGTGTCTGCGCAGAGCTGCCAGGAGAATGGAATAGTTAAGGAACAAGGGCTGACTGGGGAGTAAAGGCACAGGTGGACAGTGAAAGGTCCCTCCCATAGGGAATAAAGAGGAGCCAAAGGGGAGGGGAGTTTGCAGGAGACAATTAGTTTGCTTAATTAGTGTGAAGATTTGTTCGTGACTTTCAGAGACTCCTTCCCAAGTATTTTCTTGTACAGTGTTGAGTTCAGAAGATATCGACCTGGCAGCTCTCCAAGCCTGATAAGGTCTGTGGTGGTAAATACACCCTTGAAAGACTGTTTGCCAGGACTTTGCTGGATGTGAATGAGGGGAATTCACATTAGCTTAATAAAGAGGGGGTTTGGGCTCTCTTTCAGCCCAACCCATCTCACAAGGTGGTTGTTGTATGGAAAATAGGAAGAGGAGGGTGTGTAGGATATGTTCTCCGCCATGAGTTTTATTTGTAAAAATAATAAAGGCGGGATACAAATTAAATAAATAACAAGGTGTCATATAAGGCGAGACAAGACTTGGGTAACTGGGAGGCCATCTGCTTGCCAATTTCCCACTTGATACCTTTGTATTAAACTCAACAAATGCAATCTACTATCTCGGATTCTTAATCCTTCCTTTGACTTCCGTGTTAGGTTTTTTCAAAGATGACCGCATCGTATTCTGGACATGGATGTTTTCCACCTACTTTATGGAGAAATGGGCCCCGAGGCAAGATGATATGCTCTTCTATGTTCGCAGGAGGCTGGCCTACGTTAGCGGAGATGGCGTAGAAGAAAAGAAGGTAGGTTGATTGACAAGCTGGAACTCCAAGAAAGACAGTCCTTGTTCTCCTCTCATAAATGTCAAATGGGTTTCCTCTTCAGCTGACAGAAAATTAAAAAATAGATCAAAGACATACCCGTATTTTTCAGAATATAACACGCATCGGAGTATAAGACGCACCAAGATTTTGAAGGAGCAAATTTTAAAAAAAGTTTTTGCACTCTGCAAACCTCTCAAAAACATGCGAAAACAGGCCTGTTTTTTTAAAAAGGCATGAATAGCCTTTAGGAGGCTTATAGAGTGCTCCTGGGGGCTGGCCCCCCCAAAACTGAGCAAAAAACAGCTCGTGGCATTATTTCGCATGCCGCCTGCATCTCACAGATGGGGCTTCGCTTGTTGTGTGGCCCGATTGCTAGCATGCCATGGCCCTGTGTAGGTCCACCATCCAGGGACTGGAGACCCCTGTTCTAGAGAGAATAGCAATAGCAATAGCAGTTAGACTTATCGCTTCATAGGGCTTTCAGCCCTCTCTAAGCCGTTTACAGAGTCAGTATATTGCCCCCAACAACAGTCTGGGTCCTCATTTCACCCACCTCGGAAGGATGGAAGGCTGAGTCAACCTTGAGCCGGTGAGATTAGAACTGCTGAACTGCAGATAACAGTCAGCTGAAGTGGCCTGCAGTACTGCACCCTAACCACTGCGCCAGAGAGCAGAAAATGGTTAAAATAAAGTAAAAACTATAAAGCGCTATTCCTATGTTATAAAGAATGTAATTATACATCTAATAATATTGCATAAAGATTGGAACTGCCTTCATTTAGACTTTTGACAGTTTTTCCCAGAACAAAAAGAGAAATAACGGCTCCTATTAATCTTGCATTTCAGATTTATTCTATCTACTTGAAAACATTTCTAGAAATACAGCTTCGTACAAATACAGGAAACTATGTTACATATATTTGATTTTGTGCTCTCTTTTCATGTTATTCTCACAAAGCAAAACTAGTTTGTCAAAGTTTCCCACCCCCCCTCCAACGTGGGTTTAAGAAGTCTCTTGGTTAAATATTTGCTTCATTTGTGAAGCATGAAATTAATGCTTTGTGATTTATAGCCATTTCCACCTGTCACTTCTTAGAGTGAATACAAAACAAGAATTTTGTACCAGTTCTGTTTGTTTAACGTGAAATCCCCCTGGGCATGAACAATATTGCATTTTGTAACTCAGTGGCTCCCTCTTGATTACTACTGCAATACAACAGAGTTTGCAAATTTAAAGCGATTCTAATAATCCTTGTATCTGGCCAGTTGTCAAGCAGTGGTTTCTTTTGAAGGATATTGTGGCAGGCAATCCGTGCTGATTTTTATTTATGTATAAAATTGATAGACTGCTTCAATCTAAAAAGGTCTCCTTTTTAAATTAGATCCCAAAATAAATTGAATTGTTTTGCTCTCAAATTGCGCATTCAAAGCTTTCTCTCTTCAAATTGCCAGTCGCCAATTTGAATGGAATCAGGGCTGATTAGTATGCTCACAAAAGCTCCTGCCTTTTAATTAAATGTGTGAGAAAAAGTGCTGCCAGAGTCCTCATGAATTTTGGCTTCCATAGATACATATTAAATGCCATTACTATGTTGTCTGCTGTTTGCTAACAATGGACTCAGCTAAGCTTCAGATCCATTCAAAAAGTCAGTGTTTTTCAACCTTGGCCGCTTTAAGATTCCCAGCATTCCCCAGGAGACATGGTTGGCTGGAGAATTCTGGGAGTTGAAGTCCACACATCTTAAAGTTGCCAAGGTTGAGAAATATTGCAAAAAAAATAATATTTCTTTTGATGGGGGAATGGTCAGAAATAGTTTCAAGGCTAATCCTATGCCCAGCTGCTTAATATGTTTTGTTTTTTTATGCTTTTATCTGACCTTGATTTTGAGAGATGTGCAATTCACTGTGATTTGTGTTCAATTGGGACAAATCATTAAGAGCCGAGGTGGCGCAGTGGTTAGGGTGGAGTACTGCAGGCCACTTCAGCTGACTGTT